CATAATAATACTCATCTTCAGATCTACATCTATGTTTGAAAGAAGCCAACTTGACCTGATGCACTCTCACCGTCCATTTAATTGTTCAATCATGAATATTCTTATAACTTACAATTCGTGATTTTATACATACATACATATAAATGTATTGTTCTTATAGTTTTTGCGACAGGCTTGAGCGTAGGGTGTTTGAATAGTGTTGGATCCAGTTAATAAATATCATTTGAAGCGATTCTCAAAAATCAACCGAATTAGTGAAAATGTCAAACGGAATTAAAAGCAGATTCAAACTGAGTTATGGAGCATATATGGAAGAAACAGGGAGCAAGTAAATTACATAAAACACATCGCATTTTTGCGCTAGCGAAGATGCCACAATCAAAAATGGAGTATTACTCAGCTGAATTTGCCATTGTGTATGTATTATTATCAAATTGAAGTGTTGGTGAAAATCAACGACTTGTGAATTTGTCCATTAATCAATTGTTTGTCACAAAGACAGTGTGAGATCTTTGACTTTACAAATCGTTGCTCCGGTCGATATACTTGGATTTACCTTCTACTTGACAACGTGTCAATGTCTTTCACATACTGTTTATGATGTGTTATTATCAACAAACGTTGTTATTCTCCTCTTTTTAAACGCTTTATGTGCCGAATGTCGTAATTTTTCATTTCCTGTCTAATTGATAAACTTTCTATTGTCTTTGAACTACAAACTGAAGTCATATTTGTGTGTCAGGGAGTGATCACAAGTCATTTGCTTTCATTTGCTCCGTCAATGTCTCACATTCTGTACCTACTCTTGAAATCATTCAAACCATCAACTGTTGTTCTTTTACTTTGAAACCACTAAAAATTGCCTATGATTACAGTTTTCATCAGTCGTGCGCATTTTGTAAATCATTCGTATGTATTTTTTTAGTGAATTGACTTGTCACATGTTCAGTATTCTTTCTGAGGGGATTCGGAAGAACAGAACACGAAATGTTTTGCAATTATCACGATTATTATCGTTTCAGCTTATACGGCGGTAGGACTTCACCAATGGTTCTATATAAATTTGTTCGTTATTTTGAGAAAGAATTTACGTAGGGTTCACTATATCTTCATCGATATATATTGGTTTCTTCACAATGATATGGAATCATTTAGTAATATGTATATTGCAATAAAATGGTTTTTCTCTATATTTTCAACCAACTTTGCAGCAAACATTGTTTCACATGTGACAGGATGTAACTGAACATACTTAGAGTAAAATATGTTACTGCCAAATTTACATAAATACATTCTGTTATTATTCTTCTACCTAATATTGCATGAACTTCATTGTAAAAGAGTGGTGTGGGAATAAATATCTTTATTGAATTCTGTGTTTGTGAAAAGCCGTTACCAGTTTTTATTTGAGAAAGTCAAACATTTTATTAGCAGGTTCACCAAAAGAATTCTTAATTATGTTTATACAATAAGTATTCATAACAATATCAATTCTGCGTCCTCTTGCTTTGAATGACTCAGGTTCTATGGTTGTTGAGATAAAATCACAAATATTTCTAACTGTCTATTGACGTTCACACCGCTTGTCGTTACCTAGAAGCAGTCATCAGGTTGTTTAGTGCAGGGAGTTTTTGAGAATATCAGATATCGACAATCACAAAATCAGTGAGCCAGTAAAAGATAAATTGGTGAACTTGATTACTTAAAAATCGTTGAGTCTTGACTAAGTATATTTCGATACCACATGGATTGATAAGCTAGATTATGAACAGAAACGAAATCCATTTCCTGTTATTACTCATCTACGGGAATGTTTGACAGAAGCAATTTCTTAATGACGCACTCTCTACACCCCTTTAATTTTTCACACATAAATATTGATTTCAACAAACAATTTCTGATTTTGAACATTAGATCACTCCAAATGACGAATATTTTGTACCTAGTGGTTTTGTTTAAAAATTTCGTACTTCACACTTTGTTGTAGAATGAGAAAACGTGCAAACCTGAACAACGTGACAATATCACTATGAAATCACCATTATATTGACACAGTGAGAAATACAAAGTGATCGTGTGAATGTACCACGCGCGATTGAATACTCTGACTCAACCTACTTACGTGATTTGATAAAACTTTGATTTATTTGAGTATTTCTATATATATATATATATATATATGTATATATATATATATACATATATATATATATATATAATTGTAATTTCTGTCATTTATAATGTAATTCTCATGTTTTATTTCGATTGGTAATAGTATTTGCTGTTTTGCAATGTGCGCATCGTAAGTCGATATTCAATTTATCTCTCATATGATAAATGATAATTTTCAAGTTTCTGATATCATAGTTCAACGGAAATATTGTTTACTTAAACCGCCACCCGAATGTGATTTTGAGGAATTAGTTATTTTCTTTCGAATTGAAAGATGTTATTTAAACTATTGTCGTTTAGAACCATCACGTATTTTTTATTATTGGATTATATTTTGAACAAGCATGATTAGACTATGATTTTAGATATGTTAATTTGCATCAGCTCCAAATTTTAAGTGAAATTTTAATCACCTCTCATATTCTCTCTTCATGTAATAATTGTAGACTCGTTTGTTTGATTGTTCTTGCATGCACTACGAATATGATTGTTGGAACGGAAAATTTAACTTGGGATTCCTACCAATTCGGTTTAACCTGGCCTCCTACATATTGTTTTTCTTTCATAGTAATGTTTTTATCATGATGTTCCAAACAATTTTATTTCCCAAATGAATGCTTCATTTTATTCATGAGTGATAATTTTAATAAATTAACTTTTCTCGGTTCTCATCACAATGACATCTTCAGATCAAGCTACTTGGTATTGTTTTCATCCCTGTGGAAAGACATTTCGTTTCATTGTGTTCAGTTATATCAACAATGACTATCGACTGAATCAAGAGATGGATGATATAATATTATGTGATACGTAGGGAAGGTGTATTTGAAAACAGCACGATGCCGACTATGCTGTCAGCAAACTTGATATTCACAAATAATCTTTCATTGTTATCTGATCCACAAGGTAACGATTATGTGATCGAGAAGGAAATAAAATTGGAATATTCTATGATCTTAATACTTACCGTCACGAATGTATATTATCAGATCCACAATGCAGGAAATTCATGAATGTGCCACAGCATATGTTGTGAAGGTGAATTTTGATATTTGAGGCTGCTACAATTTCAAATAACCGAAAGATAAGTTGTGATATCACACAATTGATACAAATTTCAAAGCCTACAATTGTTACTAAGATTGTACACCACGTTTCTATTTCATTTTCTTTTCGTCTTATTCAGTGCCCAATACCTGATGGAGTGACATCATTCACAATTCATGGACTATGGTAAGATGAAAATTGAAAGTTACGTTGTGCGAATTGCTATGCAGTTATTTACGCTTCAAATGTATATAAGAAAATAATATATCTGAAAAAGGAATGTGAACATCAATGAAACGTTTCCATCGTGACCGCATAAATGAGTGTACAGTAATCAACAACTAGATGTTATTAATTGAAAAGTAAATGAAATCGATGACATGGCTTATGTTATGTAGTCATGTGAACATGGTAGTTAACTAAAGATAAGGAACATGTATGAAGTGCTCTTTGCTACCGAAATTACAAAAACACTTCAGAATCAACATGAAAAAAATGCAATATATTCGATCAATATAAGTTCCAGGTGCTAAATAACAGAAACGCTATTGAATACTTTGATAAATATAGTAGAGATTTCCAGAAAACTTAGTCATTACTAATTACATTATTGCTTCTTTCGAAATATTCAATTATGTTTGAATCGACTGTGGATTCATTAAGTGATGGAATTATATGTATCATATGTATCAGTTACTGAACATTTGATAGAAACGTCAATTTTGAAAAACATCATACTAAGCTGACTATCGTTGAATACAATAATTCTTCATGTTTGAAAACTAATTGTTGTTCAACTTTTTTCTTTGACAGGCCTCAAACTTATCCAGACCTAACTCCGGTTTGCCCACCGACATTAAAATTCAATTAAACACTTTTGGATGTGAGTTAACTTCAGTAAAGGCGTAACCAGTGTGTGCAATTTATCGACATTTATTATTAAATCTATAGTCAACAATAAATTCACAAGGAAAACGCCTATTCCTCGATAGTAATTATTCACTAATTACTATGTTCCGTTTTGTATATAAACAATGGGATTTAATTGTACACTGATCAATTAACTTCCCATTGAACAATTATACGACATTTCTGTTTGTTCATCCATTCGAGTACACTGCACTGTAAAGTAAATAAGGACACAAAGTAGAAAACTAAAATACGGTTCACAAATTCAGCATCCAGATAGTGAGCTAAGTGATAAACGATATTTCCTGAGTTATTAATATAGTTTGAGTACTTGAACTGTGGTGTGATTTTGTTGATCTGTTTGCAATCTAATATAATGATCAATAAAACAATCGTCAGTTGAAATGTCTTATTGTTCAGAAGGTGTGTTTCATAAATCATTTGATAAATATTGACACAAAATTATCTATTCTTGTTACAACTCTTTGACTATTCCAATTGTACAACAGATTTTCCATATCATTGACTGTGAAATAATGTTAGCCATTCCTTCTGAAGACAGTGATTTACCAGGTGAACATTATCATCATCAAATAAAAAAGTAGTGGAATTACGTAAAATAATTTATCTCTGACTGTTATTTGATATGCATTTCATATATATGATAGCTCAATTATTAAAATACATTGGACTGATAACGCAGGTGCGTGTTGATATTTTATAATGTCTACAATAATCACAATCAAAAAAATATTTCTATTTGCCAGACAAACTGTAAACAATGTATTTCGGACAAATCTTTGAATACAAAGATTTGAATGACATGCAATTTTGATCGGATAATTGTTGAAATATACCTCACTTTATTTTAGCCACTGAGACCTGAATTAGATCACAAATGGGCCAGTTTGAGAAATTATTCCGCGAGAGAAATATTTTGGTAAGTATGAAATTTGTACTTTATGGCTTGACCTGTTGTCAATGATTTAAGTAAATCTATGTCATGTTTTATTATATTATCTGGATTAGAATTGTTACAGAAATAATCAACTATCAGGTTTATAAAACAGTTAGGAAGTTTATGTATGATACCACACATCTAGAAGCTGAACGCAGATTTCGAATAGGTAGTTTGAAATTTTTAAAAAAGTGTGTATTTATTGGACGCATGAGAAAAATGATTAAAATTACTTTCAAAAATAAAGCACAAGATTCAAATACACACTGAGATTTCGAAGAAAAATGTAATTGGCAAAAGCATTACTCGTGTGAGAGTTGATAAACGACGAGTTAGTATCCATTTGTCTTGTCATGTGTAAGTAGACTGACTATTAAAATGACCAAACATGATTACTGACTCACTCACATAATTGTGGACTGAACAATTTCGGACAAGAATATGGAATTTAGAGCAACAAACGTAGTCTTATTCATACATACACTAGCCTACTTAGATTTAACTTAATAATCACGTTTAGGATGTCTAGTGATGCAGCGAGTATCCAGTCATCTACTTCAGGCACTAAATTTGACATATGTAGCCAGTACATGTAGATAAATGGATGCATTCGATGTACTCTGAACATCATTTGAATCAGTTTACTTCTTTTTGAACAAGAAAGACATTAATTTTAACAAAACTGCTGTTAATCAGTTAGTTTTGTTTCGAGGTTTCGTCGAAGGTGATCTGTTATTTTCATCTCAAACTTGTGTGAAACTTCCAAAATCCAGTACTTGAAAGATTTCTCTTCAATGTGAACGCATCGAAATAATTTTGAATTCAACTCACTTCATTGACTAGCTGAATGCCTTTCAATCAAACTTTATTTTACTTGCAAAACTCATGACGATGTTGATAATTATGTATGCTGAATTGATTTTGTGTAGAGGACTCAATATTTATGTTACTTTTTTCATATAAGGGCACAAGAATTCGAAAAACATGGGCAGTGTGCAGTCCAAGATCCTCGAATCGGTAGCGTCTTTGGTTACTTCAATGCTGCTCTTGTTTTGTATAACAGAACAAATCTTTTAAAGTATGTGATTTCATTCCTATTATCATAATTTGTTTTTCTTCGGTGATTAGTTACATCAATGACTGATTTTGACGTAAAGCTATTCTCTTGTTTTTTGCTATAACTTAGCATCAATAATGTCAACCACCAACATACAACAGATTTGTGTGCTTACGTCATCTGAACAATCAACCTATGTTGAGATGCTTGCTTTATTTCATCATTTTGTGCATTGTGTAACGTAAATGATAGATCTGTAATTCGAATTGAACTATGGAACATGACGTACTTTCATAAACGCACGTCGCAGTTTTTGAAGCTCTTTTCTTGTCAGTATGACGATAAATGGAAAGATCTGAAAGTCATCAAACGGCTGTTTATAAATGGAATCATACAGCAACGTTTCGAATTTGAAGAAAAGGCCGGACAAATGCTTGATCTCCTTAATTTGTCATGTCAGCTGTTCAAATTAAATGGTCGTCATCAGCATCTTTTTGATTATGTTCATTGAACGATAAACAGGATGAGAAATGTGAAAATCATTCAAAAGTTTTCTGTAATTTTATTCCTTTCAGCACACTGAAACGCAATAATATTGTTCCCAGCAATCGAACAATGTACAGTGTAAGTGTCCTTATCAACAACTATGAACAAATTACTTATATACATCACTTTCATACCATAAAGTCTAAACTGAACTATGGTGCTAAATTATTGACTTTTACGTTAGTGTTCTTTATGACATCATTTTGACTGGAATATATGTTGTGAACAGTGGATACGATGTTGAGGACCGTCATTCCCTTGAGATGATTCTTATTCATTTCTACGTAAAACGTATCATGTCAATTGCCAGATAAAACCTACTTAATCACGAAACACAATATCTTCTTTTTTCACAAAAGTCTTTGTCTAATTCAATATAACTATATTCGTAGTTGGAAGTGAAGCAATTCCACTATTATTATCGTACGTGAACAATATACGGTGAAGCAATTGTTATTCATTTGAATCATCCCTTACTAACTGACCATTCGATTTTATTCAGTTGACATCATCCAGACGGTTGGTGTCGGTAATGACCGTAATAGACCTTATTTACGTAATCACATCAATGCGTTTGAGCCATTTTAAAGTAATAATTCAATAAAAATACTCTTTGCAAATAGAAAATCATTTTACTTATTTATTTAGAAAATATACTTCCAAAACGTAATGAAGAAAGAATACGGTTATCCAGCTTGGTTATTGTGCAGGCCAGGTCGCGGGAAAGTAAGAATTTTTTCCTACGTTTAGTTAGCTTAGATCAATATAATTACATTTCTCTTTGATCGCCAAAAGGGCGACATTTTATAAAACTGACCACTATATATTTTCACAATAGACTATATGACTGTTTCTCGTGAGGAACGCTTTAACGATTAAAAGGTTTTGATGAATTTGTAAGAATAATCCATGAAAGAAATGTTCATTTGTAATCATTTTTACATGCATTTGCACTAATTATTCTGTCCATGATTTCGCAACATTTCAACAGCAAGCCAAAAATTACGATTTGGAAGAAGTACGCTTTTGTATGAACAGATCATTTGCATATATTAACTGCACTTCATATGGAATGTGTCCGGAAAAATTCTATTTTAAACCATTTTTCAATTCATCTGTACTAATTAATCTAACAAGAAGACCAAGATGGGGATCGGCCAGGTATACACGTACAAGACGTAGAAGACCTTGAATAGCGCAATGCTATATAATGTAATAGTTATTATTTTTGTAAAATCGCAAATAGATGTTTGTCGCATAATTCAAAATTATTGTAAAAAAGACTGTTATCTCGTCTATTATCTCACATTCTTTTGCAAGAGGAAATGTTGATTCACTAAAATCAGGTGAATAATAGACCAGATTTTTTTTCTTCAAATTCTTGTTACGTCCTACACAGTCTAGTGAAATTATATCTATTCATTTTTACTGCACTGAAAATAAATATACATTCGGGTTATTGAAAACATAAATGTTAAGACTTGTTAATTGTTGTTTCCTGGGTTTTAGTCGCTGGATGATTCTCAAACAAATTACGTGAATAAGCTTATTTTACATAAAAAAGGCCGAATGTTGTTACTCATAAATCAATGAATGTCGCAACAGTGTTTTATTCGGGAGAATTGGTATGGAATATCAAAAATTTATTCAAGGATATCTTTTCAAAAGTGCGATCATTTCACTCTGACATATTAGTTATTAATAAGGCGGGAGATATCCCCTTAAAATACATTTACGGTTGAAATTTTTCAACTTATTTTTTTCGGATACTAATATGGATATATGCGAATGACATGTTAGCAACTGTATTCATTTGATGAACTATATCTACTCATAAAAACATAAGTTTACTATATAACCTAAGACATATTTACTAGCATGCTTCTTACATAAAATGAGTTGATGCTATTAGATTGTTGTAACTGACTTCTCATGCACACACACACATATAATAATATACTTATCAGCTGTGAAGTAATTACATGAGCTGAATAAAGTTTATTATGTTTCACACAAGGATACGATAAGATTTCAAGACACACTTGCATATATCATATCGAGAAAACAACACAAATCATTAGTTGTTATTCAGAATAAGAAAAGAATGAGAGTCAAAGAATATTTATGGTATGACCATCAGTGAATGTGCAAGTTAACTATTGCTGGTTACATAGATTATTCGACCGATATGAGTTGATGGCAATGATGACACCCAGCAGTCCTCATTATATGCATCTTGAACAGCTTGTCCAAGAGGGAGATTATATTCCGTATGTGAGTAATTGATTATCAAGTTTCTCCTCTCTCTCAAGTCTCAACTGAGGGGTCTGTGATTACCTCGGCTGGGAGATCATTTCCAATTGCAACGACCCGCAATGAGAAATGGTGTGCAAAAATCTGAGTATTCGTCATGTTTTGTATGTATTCGGTATGTTTAACACAATAATACGATAAGAAATCGAACCACATTTGTATATATATTATATTCAGAAAACAACACAAATTATAATTTACTTTTCACGAGGGGAAAAGAAATTAGAGTTAGATATGATTGTTGGTATGATCACAAATTAATAGGCTTCGAACAAATACTGGTTAAACTTGATCGATAGACGGAAGGAATATGGATGATAACACTACACGATATTTTATTGTAGTCCATTGTTCAAGGTTCTGCTTAGAAAAGCGAGAAGACTTGAATGGCGTTGAAAGTGTGTTCCACGAGCACTCACAGGATCAAAGATTGCTAATCACACAAATAAGGCTCATTCATACAATGTCAGAAACAAACTTGTGAGAGCCAGGAAATAGGGTACCAGAGTAATCCGTCAACCATTGAGAGTCTAGGATGCTCAATACGAAATAGAAAAATCAGATCATCACATTTGTGATGTAGTTTGAAAGACTCCTTTTGCAAACACATCCGTGAATTTTAATTTCGAAATTCTACAAGGTATCTGAGTTGATTCAAATTTACTATTTAAAACATGTATTACAGCAGCACGATGGTAAAGCACAGCTTCCAAATGGGAGTGCGTGAGAAACTGAGTGAACTCTCTTCGTAGTCGGTACATGGACGGTTAGTTTTCGGTCACAGTACAATGACCAACTATCCCACGTCATGTGAATTTCACTTTTCGAGGATTCCAGTTTTCTTTTAAAGATACCCTCAGTATTTTGCATATTGTGGAGTTGAAGTTGCCGGATCTAATTGACCGGTGAAGTTTATGTCAATGTTCAAATTTGTCTCTATGTTCATAGTTTCATTGTTCGACAGAATTATTGTAATGTTGTAGTTGAAAGAACGCAATGTATTAGAAACAAAGGATTCAAATTGGCATTGTTCCTAGCTCACGACCTTCTAGATCACTGCGAATTTTGTTGAATCATCAAAATACGTGTTGGACTTTGTGAGTCTATCAAACACAATTTATGTAGGATTCTCAGATTGAGGTTACGAAATATAAACAAGCTATTGTAATTATTATGTCATTAATAATGCTTTCATCAAGAAAACCTACTTAAGGTTAAGGAACGTACTGGTTTCACCAACAGAACATGTACGTTCAGTAGGAGCACATATGTTATTCATATTTATTCACGCCAAACCTGCTTCGATTCATTGGAAAACTGATTGAAACTTTATCGACTATTTTGGAAGAGATTTGAAAATTTCGTGTTAAATGATGGGATGCTTGAATTGCTCAGGACCAGGTGATTACCTAACCTTTGAAGCGATTCTCCTGAATCAACCAAATTACAGAAAACGTCGGAGGGAAATATAAGAAGACGCAAACTGATTTATGGAGCATATATGTAATAAAATGTGGAGTAGCAAATCACATAACACATTTTGCATTTTTCCACTGGCGGAGCTGACGCAAACAATAACGGTGTAATTCTCAGCCATATATGTACTTATGTGTAATGTGCCGAAATGTGCGTTTATAATCTTATTGCAAAACACTAACAGTGGGTATCAGAGATGTTCCTTTGAGGTGTTATGACTGTTTAATGCTTATCACATTTAGGTTTTGTCTGAACAAATAAATTATTCAATCAAGCATTTTTTATCACTAATGATACAGATGTAGCGTTATATTTGATCAACTTCAACAATGTGAAACATTCCATATCTGAAAAAATCATCTTACCACAACCCATGAATGTAGCAATCATTTAATTCTATCATAACGCAACACTCATTCAAATAAAATGAAATATTCATGTGTGATATCAGTCACTGGCGCAAAGAAAGTTCAATGTTGTAATATCGTCATGTGCAATGCATACTCAATATTCTTGTTTATCGTTTCAAAACTTAACAGGTTTTGTGCATGTTTTATTGTACACGTTTAATGTATTTTCATTAAAGGCCAAAAGACTTCGTATATATGTGTATATGTATACGTTTGGATTGTGAAATGTTTTTCTCTCTCTTTTTACTTACTTTCCAGTAAACATAGTTTCACATATGACTGTATATATTTGAAGAAAAATATCCCACTGCCTAATTAACAATAATACATTGTTATTATTCTTTAACTTATTATTAGATGACATTATTTGCAGCACACACATTGACAATACTCATACTCTGATCTATTGCAATGTTTGAGAGAAGACGCACTCTCTACACCCCTTTAATGCTTCAAACATAAATATTATTTTCAACAAACAATTCTAGATTTTAAACATAAGATCACTCCAAATGACGAATATTTTGTACCTAGTTGTTTTGTTTAAAAATTTCGTACTTCACACTTTGTTGTAGAATGAGAAAACGTGCAAACCTGAACAACGTGACAATATCACTATGAAATCACCATTATATTGACACAGTGAGAAATACAAAGTGATCGTGTGAATGTACCACGCGCGATTGAATACTCTGACTCAACCTACTTACGTGATTTGATAAAACTTTGATTTATTTGAGTATTTCTATATATATATATATATATATATATATATATATATATATATATATATATATATATATATATATATATATATATAATTGTAATTACTGTCATTTAAAATGTAAATTTGATGTTTTATTTCGATTGGTAATAGTATTTGCTGTTTTGCAATGTGCGCATCGTACGTCGATATTCAATTTATCTCTCATATGATAAATGATAATTTTCAAGTTTCTGATATCATAGTTCAACGGAAATATTGTTTACTTAAACTGCCACCCGAATGTGATTTTTAGGAATTGGTTATTTTCTCTCGAATTGAAAGATGTTATTTCAAATACTGTCGTTTAGAACCATCACGCGTTTTGTACTATTAGATTATATTTTGAACAAACATGAATAGACTATGATTTTGGATATGTAAATATCTTTATCAGAAGTTTAGCATTTCAGGTGACATTTGACTTACCTGATATTTTGTTCGGCCATTTTTTTATTGTAGAATCATTCGCTTGACTATTCTCGCTTTCACTACAATTGTGATTGTTGGAACGCAAAATATAACTTGGGATTCCTACAAGTTTGGTTTAACCTGGCCTCCAACCTATTGTTATTCATACATAGTAATGTTTCTTTCATAATAAACGACATAATTATATTGCTGAAATAACGTTGTTCATCAATGATAATTGAATTATAAAAAAATATAATCAGTTTTTATGATAGTTAAATCATCACATTAACTTCCTTATCATTATGGAAAGACATTTAGTTTCATTATGTTAAGTTTTATCCCCAATTATGATCAATACAATCAAGCTTAGGTTGGGTTGAAATAATTTATTATTAAGAAAGGTGAATTTGAATATTGCATGATGCCGACATTACCATCTGCAAACTTGATTTTTACAATTATTATTCTATTGTTATCTGATTCACAACGTGACAGTTATGAGTTCGGTAGAGAAATTGAATTTGAAAATTCCATGAGTTCAAAACTAACCATCAGGATATTGTATTTTTAGATCAATAATGATGCAAATTCATGAATGTACATAAGCGTATGCTGTATAGGTGAAGTTTGATATTTGAGGCTACTACAAACACAAATAACAAAACGATGAGTCGTAATTTCACAAAAAATATTAGTACAGTTGATACAGATTTTAAAATGTACAATCGTTACTACGACTAAACACCAGATTTTATAATCATATTTTTTCGACTTAAATAGCGCCCAATACCTGATGGAGTTACATCCTTCACAATTCATGGACTATGGTAAGATAAAATTTTGATGTAAGATCCGGCGAATTTGTCTGCAGTAATAAGTGCTTTATATTCATCTAACGGGGAATAAAAACTTGAATGATACTTTTCCATTTTGATCGCGTAAATGAGTGTACAGTAATCAGCTCATTTGATGAATATCCTCACAGTAGCAGGACGACAGTTGAAATAGAATTAAGGTGCAGCAACCAGCTGTTAATAAGTGGAACAACAATGGATTTGATGACATGGCATATTTTATGAAGTCACGTGAACATGCATCAAATAGTGTTACGATAGTTAACTAAAGATAAGGAACATGTATGTAGTGCTCTTCACTACCGAAGTGACACACACAATTTAGAAATAACTTGTCAAAACTGCATTATATTCAATCAATATATATTTCAGTTGCTGAATAACATAAAAGTCACTGAATGTTATCATCAAAATAGCGGAAATATTCAGTAAACTTAGTGATTACTGCTTACTTTATGCCTTATCTTGAAATAATCAGATAAGTTTGAAACGACAGTGGATTTTATTTAGTTAGTGAATCATGATTGACTCAGTCGGTGCATATGTATCATGTTGTGAACATTTGATAGAAACATCATTTTCCATAAACCTGATACTCATACAACTACTGCAAAATACTAGGTGGTTTATCGTTTGAAAACTAAATGTTGTTCGACTTTCCGTTCGCAGGCCTGAAATTTATCCAGACATAATTCCGAATTGCACAGCGGAAGAAAAATTCAATTTGACACTTCTAAATGTGAGTTGAATTTGGTGTTTGCGTAACCATTATGTTTCATTTATTGAAATTTATGATTAAAACTATAGTCAACTAAAAGCCCACAAATGGAACACCTATTGCTTGATGGTAAAATAATCACTAACAACAATGTTTCGTTTTATTTATTAACAATGGGATGTAATTGTACAGAGATCAAAAACCTTCACAATGAACAATTACACTGTGGTGCTGTGGTGCGAACTACTTATTAGTAGTATATGACGTGAGTGTCAACGTAAAGTCTGGTAGCATAATATGGGGGGAAGATCAAGAAAGGAAGAGTAGAAAACAATGGAATTTGTATGAAACGCATGAATAATGACAATGGATTGATGTTTTGCAACAGGAACAGTCCAGTTCCATAGAATGAACTGATCTTTTGCAAATGAACAATTTACGATAGGGTTTTCCGATTTTACTGAGTAACTCTGTAATTTTCGCTAAATACAATTCGGTTGACCCAAATGTGTTCTCATTCACTACAACACGAACATTCTGTTTGTTCATTCATTCAAGTACACTGCACTGTGAATAAAATAAGATTTTATAGTGAAAAAGTAAAATGTGATTCGAGAATTTCAGCCTAGACTATCATAGTTCGAGTAAGAAATTTCGTAATTTATCATTAAAGTTTAAGTACTTGAAGTTTGATGTGATTTCGTTGAACTGTGTGCGATCGTATATGATGATCGATAATACGATAGTAGTTTGAAACGCTATTTTTATGTGTAGTTGTGTTTCATAAATCTTTTCATGTATTTTTCAACTCAACATGCTCATAGAGCAGGCCATACTGTTACTCGAAATTATGTAACACTGTTACAAATCCATCCAGAAGGATGGACTGCATGAACTTAACAACAGAGTTTCCATATCACTGACAGTGAATTACTCCCTCCCATTCTTGCAGATAACAGTAATTCTACAGGTGTTCTAATGCACGTCGATCAAGGACAATGAAACGAATATATGAAGATTGACTGGTTCAAAGAACTTCGGATTAAAATGTTCAAGGATCGTACTACATTCCTAAACCACTAAAATAAATTTTTAATGAGTTGCTAATCATTGCCTAAAAAATAGACCTATTCAGTACTGTTGAAATGATAATATCAACATATTATATATTTAAATTGAGTCACATCATTGAGATTTATGTTTGAGAAGTGTAAGGAGAAAATCTGTGAATAACTATTTGTTGATGGTGGCGTGAAAGTGGAAAAGACATTCAGTCAGCTTCATTTTGATGTCATTTGAATATGTGGATTTTTAAAAATGAAAAGTTTGTCACTTTTCATTAATCGTTTGTTATGACAGCCACATTTACAGTTTAAACATTGTTTAGAATGATCATGTAGGTGAGTATGGATCAGTCAGAATATCTACACCAAACACAATTGGAAGTGAATCTCATCTTTCCACACAAAAACTTCGGACAAAGAATGTGAATACTAACATGTTATTGACATGTCACTGGATATTACCTAACTAACAAGAATTTTCACTCTATTCCAGCCACTGAGACCAGAATTAAATCACAAATGGCCACATTTAAATAATTTGTCCGCGACAGAAATTTTTTGGTAAGAAAGAAAATTGTTCGTTGTTGTCATGTTTTCATAATATCAATACTTCATTCAATTTGCCTACTATGTTTCAGTATTGTTTACGGAAGTATTCAGCTATCAAGTAAGAGAAACAATTATGTTGTAAACATCCGGGTTTCAACTTTCAGAAGTCAAACACAAATTTCGGAGGCATACAATTAGTTCATCTGAAATTTTGAAACACATGTGTATTTAGTGAGCCAACGAGAAAATCATTCATCACAGTTTTTAACCATATAGCAGGACAAGTTTTGAGTAAACACACTGGGATTTCAAGTCACAAATGTGGTTAACCACGTCATGTCTCGTTTGAGAATGGAAAAACGATTACTCAGAATTCGTTTGTCTTTTCGTGCGTAAGTAGATTAACTGGTGGTAGAATAACCCAACAAAGCAACCAACTCACGTGAATCATCGTAGTCTTCAGGAATTAAGACCAAAATTTATGATTGAGTGTAACGAAAATGCCTATATTTATAAGACAAAAGTGACGATATTTCAGCGTGCTGAGATTCATCTTGTTATTTACATTCGGGATGTCTGGTAATGCAGCAGTTATACGATTACATACGTCAAATACAGACAGCAAATTTGACACAAGTTGCTAGTAGATATGGGTAAATAACCCCTTACACTTAATTCTGAACATGAATTGCATCAGTCAACGAATTTCCGAAATGCTAACTCTATTCAATACTCTGGAACGCAGAGGACTTTCATTTTAACTAAAGTGTTCTGAATCAGTGAGTTTTCTTTCGAAGTGTGGCCAAAAGTGATCTGTTATTTTCATTTCAAACTGTTGAGCGTTCTCAAAATATCATTTCGAATATCCACTGTTGAAGACTAAGATTTCTAATAGAACTACTAATCGATGTTTACGAACCGAAATAACTGTGAATTCAATTCAATTCATCGACTAGCGAAATGACTTTCATTCCATCTTTTTTCACCGCATCACTCATGACCGTGTTTGATGATTATTATGTATGCTGAATTCATTTTGTGTGGAGGACTCAATATTTATATTACTTTTTTCGTATAAGGGAACGCGAATTCGAAAAACATGGACAGTGTGCAGTTCAAGATCCTCTAATAAGAAGTGTATTTGGTTACTTCAAAACTGCTCTTGAACTTTATAACAGAACAGATCTTTTTAGGTATGTGATTTTATTCCATTATCATAAGTTCTATTTTTTCTGTGATTATAATCACCAATGCCTGATTCTGACATGAAGTCATACTTTTGTAATTTATGCTAAAAATAATCATCTTTGAGGATGGATGATTATTACTACTGAAAACAAACTAAATATTACAGATTTTTGTGCTAAGGTCATCTGACCAAACATACTGTGTTGAGATGATTGCTTCATTTCATCATTTTGTGCGACGTGCAACGTAAATGTTAAATCTGTTAATCCAATTGAACTATGGAACATGACGTACTTTCATGAACGCATGTCGTTGTTTTTGAAACTGTTTTCATGTCAGTATGACGATACATGAAACGATCGGAATGTCAATAAACGACCAGCAATAAATAAAATCAGTGAATCAAATCAGAAATTTGATGAACAAATGCTTGATCATCGCAACTTTCCAATTCCACTTGCCAAAATAAAATAACATTCATTGTCAATAGCCAGATTATTTGTATGAAACTATAAACAAGATGAGATATGTGAAAATCTTTTAAATGTTTTCTTTGATGCAATACATTACAGCACACTGAGACGCTACAACATTGTCCCCAGCAATCAAACAATATATAATGTGAGTTCATTTATCAACAAGTGTGAACAGATAACTTACATATATCATATTACTATTAAAGAGTTTAAACGGAACTTTTGTTCTTCATTCTGAGTGTTGAGTGAGTGTTCCTTACGACAACATTTTGTTTGGAATGTGTGTTTTGATTGACTAAAACGATTTGAACGACCGTCATTCATGTGAGATGATATCATTATCAAGTGAAACGTATTATTTCAATTGCTAGATAACATTTCGTTAATCAACAAACAATATATTTTCTTCGTTCTTAAAGTCCTTGTAAAGCTCAATATCATTATTTATGTAGTAACGATCCAATATTGCAGTTTTTGTAATGGTAGGTAAATATTTGGAGGGAACTCAATAATTCGTCTTTCAAGTTATTTCTTACATACAGACCTCTTCAAAAAAAATAATCAGCAACGTTTAGAGAGTTTGTGTCGGTTCTGACTATAATAGATTCAATATATACTGTCAAAAGAAATTTGTTGTATTCTTTTGTTTTATTTACTTAGCGAACATACCTCCAAAACGTACTGAAGAAAGAATACGGTTATCCAGCCTGGTTATTATGCAGACGAGGACGCGGGAAAGTGTGTATTTCTCTCACTTTCATTTAGCTTCGAACCAACTAACAAAATTTCGGTTTGATCACTTTATTATGATTTCATGCATTACATGTCACTTGATATATACACTATTGACCATATTACTTATTTTTGAAACAAGCAAACAAACTGATGATAAGTTCTTCTTGGCTTCTGAAGAGTAATTTATCAAATAAAAACTTTTTTGTAATGCTCTTTACAAGCATTTGCATTATTGTTTCTTTCCATGATTTTGCAAACTTTTCCAGAGTTACAAAAATTACAGTTTGGAGGAGGTACGCTTTTGCATGAACAGATCGTTTGCATATATTAACTGCAGTTCATATGGCATCTGTCCGGAAGAATTCTATTTTAAACCATTCTTCAATTCATCTGAACTTATTAATGTAACAAGGAGACCAAGATGGCGACCGACCAAGAAACCAGTTACAAGGCGTACAAGAATTTGAATTGTACTATGCGGTATTATTTTTTGTAAGAAAATAAAAATATTTTGAATAGTCGATTCAATATAGTAGTAAATAAAGGTGTAATATTGTCTTTTATATTACGTTCTCAGCAAGATAAAATGTCGGTACACTAAAAATAATGTAACAAAGAGATCAAGATGCCGGTCGAAAACGAAACTAGTCACCAGGCGTAAACGATATTGAGTTGAACTATGCCATAAAGGAAACTGTGATTACTTTTATGAAATTTAAATGGATTTATAATGCTCGATCCAATATAATCATAAATAAGTGTGTTGTTCCGTTTTTTATCTGTCGTTGTTTTGCCACATATAGTACATGAATTCAGTTGACGTGACACTTGTTTTTTCCATAGATTTATTCGATAGGTGAATTTCGAACACAATAAGTGAAAAACATTACTGTTCATAAACAAATAACAGGTGTTGCTATTCATAAATCAATGAATGTCAGAACGTTGTTGTCAGTCAAGAAAATAATATCGTAACTGTACATAACATTTCTTTTGCCATCAACTGGTATGGATGATCAAAAACTTATTCAAATACATCTTTTCAAAAGAGCGATCATTTCACTCTGACATATTACTTTTGATTCAGGCGAGAGATGTCCACTTAAAATACATTTGCAGGTAATAATTTCACGTTATTTTCTCAGTCTTGTGAGAATATATGCAAATGTTCTATTCGCAGTATCCTGATGATTGAACTTCAGAAACAATTGAGTGCCACTGGGAAGTAATGTAATCCGTCGAATATCTGAATCTTTATATTTCGCATAGCTTGAGTAATAAAACGAAAATAATAATAATATTTGTAGACATTTTGTGATGGATGTTTTCAGCAATGAATATCTGCACTTGTTAGTATTAAAAATTTCAATGGATGTCATTATTTAAATGATTGACCGAATAGAAATAAAATTATTAATTTGACCTAAAGAATCGCTATTATACCTAATAGATTATGTCTCCGTATAACGAGTTCCTATCAATCGTTTGTTCGTCGAAAGAATTCTTATTATTAACTTACGATAAGTTTTGTTCACAATATCAATTCTGGTTCCATTTCAAATACTTATCGTTGTCTATAGTATTCTTGATAAACAATCAATTTTGTATCAGTGTATCGTTTTTTTAAATTTTCATCTTAAAGTTTTTCTCACAATTAAAGACAGGTTCGTTAAATATAAATTGAGTACCTGAAACAAGTGATGATAGGAGAAATGTGGTTGCATATCATTTTGACTAATAAACTACTTCAAAATTTAGGCACAGAATAAATGGTTATCTGGCATTTCATTCAATTAATTTACTTGAAATACATTTTCTGTAATCGGGAAATATTTAGTGTTTCCGATCAGCATGGAATCAACTTTTCATTTAGGAAGTCTCATGAAGAAATTGTACTGGTGAAAAGTACACTATGAATGCCATTCTTTGTCAAAAATATTTATCTACTAGCAATAAATTGATTCGGTCGGTACTCCTGAATCATTTCACTTCCACCTCCACAGCCTTAGGTTTTGTTCTTTGTGTGAGACAATCACAAATTATTTCGACTCTATATTGATCTATACACCGCTAGTCGTAATCCAAAAGAAAGTATAAGGATGAACAGTGCTGGAAGTTTATGAGAATATAAAATTTAAAATCAAAAATATAAAAATGAACGAAAGCGCAGTTTACTGCATAATAAAACTCATCTTCATATTTACAACTATCTTTGACAGAAATAACTTTACTTGATGCACTCTCATCATCCCTCTAACTCTTCAGTCATCAATAATTTTCAACAAACAATTATTGATTATAGACATTACGTTATTCCATCTGCTGAATTTTTTTAACTGGGTGTATAGTTTGAATATGTTTGACGTAAGGCTTATGCGTAAAATGAGAAGACTCGCAAACTTGAACCTGAAAATGTAAACATGAAATCCTCATCATAACTGCAGTTAACATACACGTAGTTTACACGTTTGCCTTAACCTGGCCCCCGACATTTTGTTTTCGTATATCGTGATGTTTCTTTCATAAAAAACAAGAAGATTTCAATACTGAAGTGATTGCTTCATTGTATGGATGAACGATGATTTAGTGACATTCGCCTTATTCAGTTTTATTCATATTGAAATCATCAGATAAGGGTAACTCATATTGTTCATATCATTGAAGAAAGACATTTCGTTAAAATGTGTTAGGATTTATCTTCAAATATTATAAACTGACTCCAGCTAGTGATGATATAATATTACCTGATTGGTAAAGAAGGTGAATTTGAAAATTGCATGATGCCGATATCACCTTCAGCAAACTTGATTTGCACAATTTTTCTTCTATTGTTATCTGATCCACAACGCGACGATTATGTGATCGAGAACGACATTGAAATTCAAAATTATATGATCTCAGAACTGACCATCAGGATGTTGTATTAGTAGATCGACATTGAGGCAAGTTCGTGAATGTACAAAAGAGTATGCAGTATAGGTGAAGTTTGATATTTGAGGTTACTACAATCACAAACAGCAAAAAAGATGAGTTGTGATTTCATACTAAATGTTAGCACACTTGATACAAATTTCAAAATGTACAATCGTTACAGTGATTGAACACCATCTTTTGAAATCATATTTTGTTCCACTTATATAGCGCCCAATACCTGATGGAGTTACATCATTCACAATTCATCGACTACGGTAAGATGAAATTTCGATGTTAGTTTCAGGTAATGTTTCTGCAATATTCAATGTTTGATATTTGTCTGATAAAATTATTTTATTGAATAAAGAGTGAGAACAATAATGGAACGTTTCCATTTTAATCGCGTAAATGAGTGTGGTGTAGTCAGCTCATTAGATGAATCTACTAATAATAGTAGTACGACAGTTCAAATAAAATTAAGGTGCCACTGAGATTCGTAAGCGAAATGTGATAGAAACAACACATTTAAAAAACCTGATACTCAGCCGACGATCGTAAAAAACAATGTGGTTTATGGTTTGAAACATGCGTGTTGTTCAATTTTTACAGGCCTCAAAAAATTTATCCAGACAGAATTTTAAATTGCAAAGCGGCAGAAAAATTCAATTTGACACTTCTCAATGTGAGTTAAATGCGGTATTCGCTGGAACTAATGCGTCATTGAAAAACATTTGTGATTAAATCTATAGTCAACTGAAAGCGCACAAATAAAACACCTGCTTGATGGTGAAATAATCACCAATTGTAATTTATCGTTAATTGTACAATGACTAAGTAACTTTACATTGAAAAATCATTCTACTATTTCGATTTTTGATTGATTCAAGTACACTGCGAAGTGGATAAAGTAAGGACCAATATGAATACCTGAATTATGATTCACAAATTCAGACTTCAGATCGTGAGTACCATTATCATAAGTAATAAACGACATTTCGTGATTTATTATTGGACTGTGTGCAATCTAATATTATGATAGACAAATCCATCATAAGTTGAAATGCCTTCTTGTTCAAACGTTGAGTTTCTTCTATCATTTCAAAAAAACTTAAACTCAACATGCTCATAGTGCAGGCCATTCCGTTACGCGAAATTACGGATTTCTGTTACAAAACGTTCAGGAAAGATAGACTGCATGAAATTTACAACATAGTTTCCATATCACAGACAGTGAATTCTTGCTCCTTATTCTTTAAGATAACAGTGATTTTACAGTAGTTCAAATGTTTGCTGATCGAAGAAATGAAACAGGTATATAACTTGTTCAAGTATAGTACTATTCTGACGAAATAAAATAGAAAACAGAAGTGTTAGAAATAATTTATCTCTGACTGTTATTCAATATGCCTTTCAAATATGCTAATAATTGCCTGAATAATAGACATACATATTGAAATAGTATTATCAAAATATTATCTACTTAAATTGAGTCGAATCATTGAGATGTAGATGTGAGAAGTACATTGGGAAAATCTGTAAAAATCTAATTGTTGATAGTAGCTTAAACGTTAAAAGACATTCAACCAGCATCATTTTGATATCATTTAAATATAGGCATTTTTGAAAATGAAGCGTTCGACACTTTTTCATAATCCTTCGTTATGAAACACACATTCTCAGTTTCAACCTTGTTTGCAGTTATAATTTAGGTGAGTATTGGTCAGTCCGAAAATCTACAGAAAACACAGTCGGAAGCGAATCTAATTTTTATATACGAATTGTGAACAAAGAATTTGGGACAAGCATTGTTATGAATAACATTTGAATTACATGTCACTGAGGTTTACATAACTAACAAGAATTTTCACTTTCTTTCAGCCGCTAAGACCAGAATTAGATCACAAATGACCACATTTAAATAATTTGTCCGCGACAAAAAATTTTTGGTAAGAAAGAAAGTTGTTAGTCTACGTTTGCATTGTTGTCATGTTTTCGTAACATCAATACTTTATTTGATCTGTCTACTCTGTTTCAATATTGTTTACGGAAGTATTCAACTATCAAGTTACAGAAACAATTATGTTGTCAAATTCCAGGTTTCCACTTTCAGAAGTCGAACACAGATTTTGGAGGCATACAATTAGTTCATCTGCAATTTCGAAACACATGTGTAATTAGTGAACCAATGAGAAAATCATTCGTCTCAGTATTCAAAAATAGAGCAGAACTTTTAAATACACATTAGGATTTCAAGACGCAAATATAATTTACCAAGACATGTATCGTTCGAGAGGTTATATACGACTAGTCAATAAATTTGACACGAGATGCAATACATCTGGTTTAATGACTGCACTCAATCTATTTTGAAGTTACCAAGAATTTATTCGTTATTTTCTATAGATGGATTTTCTACCCTAGCAGTTCACTTCGGTTCCAATAGGTGTAGGTTGAACGCGCTGTCCCGAATTCCATATCAAAAACACAATAACTCTAGAAGACAGCGGTCTATTTTCATTATAAAATGAAAATACAAACAGTTACCTACTATTATTACACCTTCCAATTCACAACTACCACTATGGATATCCGATTCCAAAAGAATAAGTGTTACCAGTTCTTACTGCTACGGTATCAAATCAAAATATGC